CATCAGCCAAGCGGCACGAATGCTGAACGACTTTGACCGTGAATGTGGAAAGGTCGGACTACAGCTGAATCTTACGAAGACAATGTTTATGAGAAACAGCCTTGTTCCTGACGCTCCAATCGCTCTCAACGGAACCACCATCTCCGAATGCAACAGTTATATATACCTAGGTCGAGAAATCAACATGATGAATGACCTGGCACCTGAGTTGCGCAGGAGGAAGAGAGCGGCTTGGAATGCCTTCAAGAGCATTGAAGAAATAACTAAAAGGACAAAGAACCTCCAGCTACGAGCACATCTCTTTGATTCCACTATTCTTCCTGCATTAACATATGCCTCAGAGACCTGGACCCTACGAAAACAGGATGAGAACGCTATTCGGGTCTCTCAAAGAGGAATCGAAAGAACTATGCTTGGAATATCACGATTCACTCAAATGAGAGATAGAATCCGGAGTTCTGATCTTCGTCAATGCTCAAGAATCAGGGACGCTGTCTCATTTGCCAAGACATCAAAAATCAGATGGGCTGGACACGTAATGAGGTTTACAGACAACCGCTGGACTAGAGCCATTACTGATTGGATTCCACGGGACATCAAAAGATCACGTGGACGCCCACCTATAAGATGGTCAGACTTCTTCGTCAAGACCCTAAATGATCGGTTTGAGGCTCTGCATGTTCCTAGAACGAACAGATACCATTGGGCTACGCTAGCACGCAACCGGGATGAATGGAGACGTTACTGGCACCCGCTCGAATAAATCGATGAATAACGGGGATTAAGTGATTAAGTGATAAGTGAAAAAAAAAATCATCAAAATTAGAATTCTATTCCTGGATGCCTTCCCTTATCATTCCTATACACGCTTTTATTTCTCAGTTATCATTTTCTTCTCTACTTCACCCTAGCAAGTCTAGGTAACTCCATCTTCCCTCTCTACCTTTTAAAATATATATATATAATTTGTTTTATGATTTAAGATTCCCTGCACTAATTACAGTTCCCTGAGCACTGCTAGGAGTAATCCCTGAGCAGAGCCAGGTGTGGCCCAAAGCAAATAAAAGAAGATGCTCTGACATAATCTGCTCTACTAGAACAGCAGTTTGATACATATATCAAAACTATGAGGTTTTGGTTTTTTCCCCTTTATGGTCACACCAGCCATGCACAGGGGTTACTCCTGGCTTCGCACTCAGGAATCACTCCTGGCGATGCTCAGGGGACCATATGGGATGTTGGGAATAGAAGTTGGGTGGGCCGCATGTAAGGCAAATGCCGTATCTGTTGCACTATTGCTCCAGCCCCCGAGGTTTTAAAAACAATCCAAAGCAAACAAAAAATACTTAGTAGAAAAAGCAGTTATACTTGCAGTCTTACAAAAATGTCTAATTTGGGGGTGGAGGAATAGTTCAGTGGGCAGGGAATTTGCCTTGCATGTGGCTGACCCACATTCTGATCCCTGGCATCCCATATGGTCCTCCAAGCACTGCCAGGAGTAATTCCTAAGTGCAGAGCCAGGAGTAACCCCTGAGAATCACTGAGTGTGACCCAAAAAGAAAAAAAAAAAAAACAAAAGAAACACCACTATTGACTTCTCTGTCCTACCTGTTTTTTGTAATTCTTGTAATATTTCTAATACTCAAAGATAAGATTATTACACGTAGAAATTTAAACTTTTCCTAACAAGAGTTTAAGACAACCCCATGTCTCTAGTCATATTTAGTGACAAAGCTATTCTAGTTTAGGAACTGTCACATGTAAGTGGAGAACATATAACGTTCCAGTATTAATAATGATTTTGTAAGCTCCAAAACTAGATACCAATTATCTCAAAGCCCTTATCATAGCCCCCATTAAGGAAGTTTTCTTCTGATTTCTCACAGACTAGACATTCTGTTAATTATAAAATTAACAAAATTTTAGCACAAAATAGGAATTTACATTTAAAAAACCTTTTCAACATAAATCACTAAAATCAATTATTCTCTACAGTAAGGAATCTCAAAATTTACTTGCTTAGGTTTAGTTATTCAATAAATTATTAAGAAAAAATATTTGGGGCTGGAGCGATAGCACAGTGGGCACGGCGTTTGCCTTGCACACGGCTGACCTGGGTTCAAATCCTAGCATCCCATATGGTCGCCTGAGCACTGCCAGGAGTGATTCCTGAGTGCACCGCCAGGTGTGACCCAACAAGGAAAAAAAGGAAAAAGAAAGAAAATTTAAAAATATTTTTGGTAGCATCTAATCTGTTAAAATATCAGACTAAGTATATATCAGACATTAATTTGAGGACATGTTAATGAAAATATATTAGTTGTTAGATGTTCAACTGACTGCTTCTTTCGGGTTAGTTTTTATTTTGCTTTGTTTTAATTTGTGGCCACATCCAGCTGTGCTCAGGGCTTCTTCCTGGCTCTGTGCTTAGTGATCAGAGGGCAGAGGGCATGGGTGTCAGGGAGTTACTTTACTAAACATTTCTGCATGTATATAAAAAAAAAATAAAAAGGTAAAGGCCCTCCCGTTGATCGTCGATTTGCTCGAGCGGGCCCAGTAACGTCTCCATTGGAGACTTTGTTGTTACTGTGTCTGGCATATCGAATACTCTCGGTAGCTTGCCGGGCTCTCCGAGAGGGGCGGAGGAATCGAACTCGGGTCGGCCATGTTGGCCGCTTGTAAGGCGAACACCCTACCCGCTGTAGAGATTTATAAACTCAAAAATCTTGGTTTAAAATGCTGAAGTTAATGAGTCATATATAATTAAAGTTGTTCAATTACTATTTTAAATTTATCTTAGAACAAGCAGTTATAAATAAATAAGCTTCCGAGTAACCAAAAATAGCTATAAGTAAAGTTCCAAGAGTGTTGGATCACCTCTAAGGCATTTGATCTTAAGTGTCACTTGTCAGAAAGATAGTACAGGGGTTAAGGCACTTTGTCCTGCAGGTGCAGAATCAGGTTTGATCCTGGTACATTCATGGTCCCCCAAGCACTGAAAAAGTGACCCCTGAGCAGAGCCAGTCTTGTTTCTGAAGTTCAAAGCACTGCTGGATGTGACCCTTAAACAGAAAAACTAATATAACTCAGGGGGTAGAGAAGGAGTGCAAGAAGTAAGGCACGTGGCTTTGCATGCTGCAGTGCTGAAACCTGGTTTATTCCCCAGCACCACATACGGTTCCTTAAGCACTGCTAAGGTTCACTCTTGAGCACAGTGCCAAGAACAGCCCTTGGGCACTGCCTGATATGTGCCCTCCCCACCCCACCTCCCCCCAAAAGTGCCACTTTTAGATGATTTAATAAATCCAAGAGGGGGCCAGAGCAATAGTACAGAGGTAGGGCATTTGCCTTGCATGTGGCCAACCCAGGTTCCATACCCAACATCCCAAATGGTCACCAGAGCACCACCACGAGTAATCTCTGAGTGCAGAGCCAGGAGTGACCCCTAAGCATCGCTGAGTGTGACCCAAAAAGCAAAGTAAATAAATAAACCCAAGAGGTCCTGGATGATATTATAAAGAATCTGGAAGTCACAATACAGAGTACTAGTCTCCACATATTTAAAGGGCTCTCAGGCAATGAAAGAAATTTACTTCTTTCAGCTTTGTAGAATAAGCAAGCATGATTATTAAAAGAATCTTCCAGTAAACAGAGCTGTCTTCAATAATGGAATAAATTCCTTCTAAGATGATATATGCCATAAAAGAATATATTTGAGCTAGAGTTACAGTCATCCATCAGACTGCCGTTGTCTTTGTTTTGAGGCCAAACCTGGTGGTATGTCAGGGATTACTCCTAATGAGGTGCTCAGTACACCTGGCAGTACTTGGGTGATCATGCAGTGCTAGGGATAGAACCTGGTACTCCCACACACAAAGCACGCACCCCAGCCCTTCATGCCCTTCATGCGTTCCACCCCCAGACAAGTAATAGAACACTTAACCGGAAAGAAGGAAAACCTCTTGATAAATGAAACTTATAATTCTATAACTGTACATATAACTGAGTCTATTTATATACTAAGTTACTTTAAAATAGCTGTTTTTTTAACAAATAGTGTTGTGGGAGGCCAGAGCCAACAGTACAGCAGGTGGGGCAACTGCCTTGCACACGACCAACCAGGATTCTGTCCCAGCACCACACATGTCCTCTGAGCCCTATCAGGAGTGCTCTCTGACTCAGAGCCTGGAGTAAGTCCTGAGTGCAGCTAGGTGTGAGGAGGGAGGGAGGGAAGGAGGGAAGGAAGGAAGGAAGGAAGGAAGGAAGGAAGGGAGGGAGGGAGGGAGGGAGGGAGGGAGGGAGGGAGGGAGGGAGGGAGGAGGAGGAGGAGGGGGGAGGGAGGGAGGGAGGGAGGGAGGGAGGGAAGGAGGGAAGGAAGGAAGGAAGGGAGGAAGGGAGGGAGGGAGGGAGGGAGGAGGGGGGGAGGGGGGGAGGGGGGAGGGAGGGAGGGGGGGAGGGAGGGAGGGAGGGAGGGAGGGAGGGAGGGAGGGAGGGAGGGAGGGAGGGAGGGAGAGAAATAGTATTATGGGTCAGGGATGTAGCTCAGTGATAGAGCAACTGCCCTGCATGTAGGAGGCTCTGGGTTCACTCTCTGGCAACACTAACAAAAAAATTAAAAGTCAGTTTAAGAAACACCTATCACCTAATTTAAGACAACTACAAACTTGTCAGATATTTTTTAGAGGGTCACACCAGGCAATGGTCAAGGGTTACTCCTGGATTACACTCAGCAATCATTCCTGGTGGTGCTAGGGGAACCATATGGGATGCTGGGGATCGAACCCAGGACAGCAGCGTGCAAGGCAAGTGCCCTTTCCACTGTACCACTGTTCTGGCCCCCTAAAATAGCCAGATTTCGATTAAACAAAAAATCTGAGGGAAAAAAAATGTATCTCACAAAGGTTCTGATTTATTTCCTTTATGTTTTAAGTAGGTGCTGAAGATAGTAAATTATATTATAATCTATTAGTATTAATTGATTATAGATTTATAAAATTTACCTGAATTCTGTTGGATTCCCCAGCGAACTCTCATCCTGAATTGCTTGGTGCCACTTTGTTGGAGTCTTCTGTTTAGTCTCGGAAAGTTCTGCTTTTTCCCTTCCTTTCGATTCAATTTGATAATCTCATCTGCGATAGAAGAAAACCCAGTTATTTTCACCTTAAGTGGCTCACTGACTCACTTTCATTTGATTTCCTATGCCCCTAACTTTCCTACTCTGAAGACACTTCCTTCTCTAGGGGATAATGATCAGATGACAAGAGCTCAAATCAGCCAGTGTGCTCAGAGCACAGGAGAAAGATTTTGCAGGAAAAGTTCAAGTCAACTGCCCAAGGGATATTTATCAATTAATGAAGGACTGCTATCCATGTTACTTCTTTCCCTGATGAATGTAAATAAATGAAAACCTGTTAGGTTCAGTTCCCAACTATGGTCCCCCGACAGCCAGAGTGCAGCCCTGAAGGGCCCCTGAGCACCAACAGGTGTGGCCCATGGCACTGGAGGCCCACAGTAGCATCCCATCTGTGGGACAGTGAACAGATGGCCCAGTTAGCCAAAACTGCCCATGCAAACCCAAAGGCATTTCAGAAAAACCAGTGAAAAAATTACATTACTTAGAGAACAAAATGTCTAAGTTTATCTCAACTCAAGAAATATTTACTAAGCACATACTCTGCACACTGAATATGAAATGTAAGGTAAGCTATGCTGCAACAGAAATAAAAATATACTACCTGTTCTATTTAAAATTATTGATGGAGGGGCTGGAGCGATAGTAGTGGGTAGGGCATTTGCTTTGCATGCGACTGACCCGAGTTCAATCCCTGGCATCCCATATGGGCCCCAGAGCAATTGAACATCGCTGGGTATGACCCAAAAATAAAATTATTGACGGAAACAGATATGTTAATAGCAAACAAAATTAAATACTATAATGGAAGTATGGCACAAAAATATTCTATTTGGTTCTCTATTCCTCTAGCAAAGTAATTAAGTTACCTTAATAATCTTTCTACACTTATTTCATTACATATTATTATTTCCCAAAACATTTCGAACAATGCCAAGATAATTCACAATCATACTGCTTTGATAATATCACAGAAAAAGATCAGAAAATTAAATGTACTCTTAGATTGCCACTTTTATCTGTAAAAAGGTTACAAGAAGCAAAATATTCTCATCCAAGAAAGTCACTTTTGGGAGCCAGAGCTATAATACAGTGAGTAGGATGGCTGCCTTGCACGGTCAGCATCCCGTATGGTCCCCCGAGCACCGCCAGGAGTAATTCCTGAGTGCAGAGCCAGGAGTAACCCCTGAGTATTGCTGAGTGTGACCCAAAAAACAAAAAAAGAAAGTCACTCTTGTCTGTTCCTACCCCAATATTAATGCTAATGATAAAGCAAAGAAATTGGTCAACAATTTAGTAAAAGTTAACAAAACCAATGAACCCATTATTTTTTCCAAACAACTCTAAACATAATCGAATACCTCTATCTACAGAAGTAGCCTTTTCCAAAGTCTAGGGAAATATAGATCATAGATTAATATTTTAATCACCTATCTGTAACTTCAGCTCTTAAATTCAAATACATGAAACAATCAAAGTATCACCAGAGTAATTCAAGTATCTTTAAGATCAATCCTTACAAAAACTTGTCAGTTAAAAAGTTTTTCAAAAATAAAAGATTGGGAGGTGGAGGGTGCTGGGGTGATAGTACAACAGGTAGGGCAGACCCTGGGTTCAATCCCCAACACCCCACATAGTCCCCTGAGCACTGCCAGAAGTAACTGCTCAGTGCAGAGCCAGGAGTAAGACCTGAGCATCACTGGGTGTGACCCAAAATAAATAAAAGGCTTTGACTATTAACATATTAAATTCCCAAAACACATTTTCTGAAATTCTACTGTCCTTTGCTAAGTGCTACCTTACCAGAGGTCTAAAACCTCTGAGTCAAGTCAGTACACCAAAAAAATTAATTTGGGGGCTGGTGAGATAACACAGTAGGGGCTAAGGGGCTTGTAAGCAGTAAACTGGACACCACACAGTCACCTAACACAGGGGAAGCATAGTGATGCTTTTTTTTTTCCTGGTGGGGGCTTTTTGGGTTACACCTGGCAATACTTACGGGTAAGTTACTCCTGGCTGTGAATTGAGGAATTACTCTTGGCAGTGCCTGGGGACCATATGGGATGCTGGGAATGAAACCTGGGTCATTTGTGTGCAAAACAAATGCCCTACCCGCTGCACGGTTGTGCTCTTTTGGATGTTACTGAATTTGTTTAAAGGTATTTTGGTCTGGGAATACTTTCATTAAAAAGCAATCAAATACATTTTAACTTATTTTTAAAGTGTTATGCAATATGTATATAAAAATTAAAGATAGCATATCAAATGTAACAGGCTCTATGCTTTATTTTCTAAGAACATAAGTTAAGGAGCTACTAAGACAAAGGTCTCTTCCCATCTAGGAAAAGACGTTTTCTCTTATTTAAGGTAGATACCAAAATAAAAAAATGCACTTTGGTGAGCTAAGATTTCTTGCACACCATTAGGAACATGGTAATAGAGTACTGAGAAGAGGCACTGTTCTGGCGTGCATTCAATTTAAATCTCACAATTCTATGGAAAAAAAAAACTGGGCTATGATAACGCCTATTTGGCTTAGAATCTAACTTGATGAAGCCCTTTGGTAGCTATTCTACATGAATATTCACATAACCCTGACGGGTCACAACTTAAAAAATGAGCTTCTAAAACCTCTCCGGACATGACAAAATATCGAAAACAGCTACTTAAAGTAACTACTTTATCCCCCCTCTGTAAAATTATCCTAAAAAAAAGCATCTGACAGCTGTCTGTGGTTAATCAAAAGCAAAAGGGGCGCAGTTCGTCGGGGCCGGGCACAGCACTGCGCACCTTCCCGGGCCACCCCGGGGCATCCCGGCGGCACCGACACCCCCACACGCGGGCGGCCGGGCCCTCGCTCCACCCCCCGCGGGCCCCGAGACCACCGCCCACACGTGACCTGCACAACCGCCAGCGCCGGCACGGGAGCCCGAGCGCGGGGGCGCGCGCGCGGGGCCGCGCGGGGTCGGGCGCGGGCGGGGCGGGGCGGGCCGGGGGCGCGCGGGGCGGGCCGGGCGCGCGCGGGGTGCCGCCCGCTGAGGAACCGCGTTCGCGGCCGCCCCCGCAAACCCCGCGCGGGCGCCAACGTCCCTTCCCGGCCGCGGGGCGGGCGCGCGGGCCCCGGACCCCCGCCCGCCGCCAGAGCCCCGGCCGTCCCGCACGGCGCCGCCGGGCCGCCGGCCTCACCCAGAGACATGTCGATCTTGTCGAGGTTCTCGCTGCCCCGGGCCCTCGGCGCCGGGCTCGCCGCGGCCCCCGCCAGCCGGGCCCCGAAGCGGCTCATGGCCGAAACGTCGCCTCCGAGCGCTCGGGAAGGCCGAGCTCGAGCCGCCTCCCACTCACGCACGCACAGCGCAGCCCCAGCGCAGCGCGCACGCGCGGCGGCCGCCACCGAGACCACGGCGGGCTAGAGCGGCCCCGCGCGCCGCCCCACGGCGGCCCCTGGCGGACGCAGGAGACGTTGCACGCGCCGCGGGGGCCCTGCGGAGGAGCCGCTGAGCCCTTCGCCTTTTTCTTCCTCCCAAATGAGGGGTTGCAGGTCGCTGCTCTAAAATGATCCTGTTTCTCCTACTTCTGAGCCCCTCCTGCTACAAATAGTATTGAAACTCCTTGGCGGTGCGGCCTCGGTGGCAGGAAAGACCTCTGCAAACTTAGGTTGCAGAACTGCATCCCAGTCAGCCTCTCCCCAGCCGGCAAACTTGCACCCTGTGGGCTGGTGGAGTCTGCAGGCAAAGCAAAGGCTAGCTACTGCGGGTGGCATTGTGTGCCCCCTTGGCGATAAAAGTAAATGCCAACGCTTCTCATGTCTGTTTTTCAACCAGAACTCAAAATATTGCACCAAACCTTAGTAAGTCTTGATCGTCCCTCAAGAGAGGGGTAAATTCCTCTGCTGTGTTTGGATACATTTTTCTCATTTTCATTTGCTTTGGGAATCACTAGGGATTCGTTTTCATTCTGATCATCCTCAGAGGAAAACTTCTTAATGTTTTGGGGCTGGAGCGATAGCACAGCAGGTAGGGCGTTTGCCTTGCACGTGGCCGGGTTGGATTCCCAGCATCCCATAAAGTTGCCTGAGCACCGCCAGGACTAATTTCTGAGTGCAGAACCAGGAGTAATCCCTGTGCAACGCCCAGTGTGACCCCAAAAGCAAAAATAATAATAAGTAATCATTAATATTTCATAAAGTCCCGTACAATAGCTTTTCCCCACTTACTACATAAGATATTCCATTTTTATTTACCTCTGCCTCCTCCGAAAGCAATTGTGCTTACTTGCAGGTGTCTAGATACCAACTCTACACTAAGAAATTTCTTCTGTCTTCCTCTGCTAAATTTCCATTTTGCATAGAAAACAACTTTTGACCTAAAGCAACTCAAAACTATCATAGCATTTACTTAAGAATGTTTAAATGCTATTGGTGACATGACTTCCAACCTCAAACCCCAATGAAATATTTTTCTATTTTTCTGTTGGGATTCCACATGAAGATGCTTATTAAATAAAATGGTCTAGAGAAAATCCCCCCGAAGATAACTCACTGAAGTCCCTATTTCAAAAGCAGTTGTGCTGTCTCTGTTCAAGTAGTCAGTTGTGTCCCAAAGGCCCCACTGTAGCTCAACTCTGCTTCTGGGTTCCTAGAACTGTCAACACATCTCCTGCTGTCCCAACCCCCAGAATTCACTAACCTGTGGAAGCAGAAACTTCCCATCCGCACAGCCCAGAGACACACACAATAAAAGACTCCCTGAGACTATAGTAAGAGGGGTTCTCTCTTTGGGTTTCCCTCAGTCTGACCAGTGTACTCTCTCTTTCAATAAACTCACTTTGCTCTGTCTAAACTGTCTTGCTTTCCTGTAAGTTCTTTTACAACCTCACATGGAGCTCAGACCCAAAGGAGACCAGGTTCTAGTACCTCTTTCTCTCACTTCACTAAATACATCATATTTATTAACAGCATTTTCTTTTTTTCCTAGAAGGAATCAACATTTTCTGATTTTTATTAATAAAACCGTTGTGTCCCAGTTTTCATTTCCATATCAGAATGCAAAGTTAACAGTGACAATTCTAGGGTTTCCTTAACAAAAAAAAATTAATTTTATTATTACACATGTTTTTTAATAGAAAAAAACAGAAGACATTGTAGAAAGTTCAGATCAGTCTCTCTCCGTCTCTCTCTTTCTCTCTCTTACACACACACACATACACACACACATACACACACACACACACACACACAACACCAGAGATGAGGAAGAGAATGGAAGGCAATGGTTAGGCTATGGTTTTGATATGGGAATACTCAAAAAAATTTTATAACTAAGAGAATCATGGAATCTGTAAAAACTGAAACAGGAATCTGAGACACACATAGCGAAAGGAAGAAGAAAATAAACCAAGACATCAGAACTGAGACCTCTCCAAAGAGTCAGTCAGCAACAAAAGCCAAAGCTAAAAGGTCATGCCTGCAAATTTTCTAGGGCACAAGAAACAGCTATAATTCAATCATATATTAATTGAACACCAACCTTGTCCTGGGCCCTGGGGCTAACACCGGGAGCAGGGTTGGTGCAGTCCCTGTTTCCCCCCTGCTTGCAGTGCGTATTCTTGAGCACCTCTGTGACTAAGGCAATGCGCTGGACAGCACTCAGCCCTTGGAGTATAGCAGTCTTGAAGCTTGATCTAAACCTGTCACTGTCACTGTCCTCCCGTTGTTCATCGATTTGCTCGAGCGGGCCCAGTAACGTCTCCATTGGAGACTTTGTTGTTACTGTGTCTGGCATATCGAATACGTCTTGGGGAGCTTGCCAGGCTCTGCCGTGCAGGTGAGATGCTCTCGGTAGCTTGCCGGGCTCTCCGAGAGGGGCGGAGGAATCGAACTCGGGTCGGCCATGTTGGCTGCGTGCAAGGCAAATGCTGTACCGCTGTGCTATCGCTCCAGCCCGATCTAAACCTAATAAACATAATTCAAGCAACTTCCCTTTTCAGAGGTTTGATTTCATACAGTGTAGGTAGGACAACATCTAGGATTACCAGATAAAATACAAGACCAGTTAAGCTTGAATTTAGATAATAAATGAATAATAACTCGTTCAAGCAAGTGTTGTTGGGTACGGAGCGGGACCTGGCAGACTCCATGATGGACTCCATTCTGTCCCACACGTCGTTTTTCTGGGTGGATTGTGGTTCTCAACAGTATGGCTTTCTCAGGGTTGTGCTCCCTCCCCCCTTCCCCCCCCCCCCCCCCCCCCCGCCCTCTGCCGAAGAAGGACATCTGGGTTGATAACTCAGGCTTGGTTCTCAGAATTCTGCTTCTTCCACCCGGGCTGATAGCTCAGCCTTGGTCCCCAGAAACCGCCTGGACAGGAGCAGGGGAGGAGGAAACAGCCGTCAGAATGGCCGGGAAATTATCAGGATAAGACGACCTGTTTCTAACGGCTGATTGTGCTGTTTGAAACTTGGTTGAAACTTATATCTCCCTTTGAAACTGTAAGCATGGGCTATGATGCACACACTGACTATAAAAATTGAAGCATCTCCATTGCTCAGGGTCCTGCTCTGTCCTGCATGCCTAAGAGTTTGACCCCAGCTAGCTGGCTTGAATAAAACTCCGCTTGAGTTTTGCATTTGGACTGGACTCTTTGTGGTTCGGAGAGGGGAGTTTATCAATCTCAGACCCTAACAATGTAAGTTTGCTTCAGGTTTCAAATAAACACCCAAAACTCTCCTTGAGAAACCTATGTTGCATGCAACCTTTAGAAGGTTTTTATAGGTAGCAGTTGCATCTCTTTGAGGTGCTTAAACACTCCAACTCAGGTGCAGCCCTGGGACAACAGACAGCAGGCGGCTGGGGTCACTCAAACTCAGCGCATGTGGCCATAGAAGACACGAGAAATGCATTCTCTGTCACTGACTATTCCTGTAGCCTTAGATATTTTTTCAGATGTCCTTCATTAGGGTGATATGCTTTTATAGATGCCCTTTTATTAACCTTTTACTCATGGTTTGTTGAACATTTTAATCATGAGTGAATGTTAAATTTTATCTAATGTTTTGTCTATCACCTACTGAAATGACTAAATCATCTAATGGCATGATTTTTTTTTTTTTTGCTTTTTGGGTCACACCCAGCAATTCACAGGAGTTACTCCTGGTTCATGCACTCAGGAATTACTCCTGGCGGTGCTCGGGGGACCATATGGGTTGCTGGGAATCGAACCTGGTTCGGCTGCGTGCAAGGCAAACGCCCTACCCGTTGTGCTATTGCTCCAGCCCCTCTAATGGTATGATTTTTCTTTTAAAATTAATATAATGAATTACATTGACTTGTTTTCAAATCTTGCAACGTCCTTGTATATATACTGTTGGATATTTGGTTTGCTCATAAATTGTTAGGATTTTTCCCTTTCCTGAGATGTATTGGTATGTGATTTCCTTTACTGTGCCAACTTATGTTGGTATCAACTTTTACTTTTCAGAAAAGGACTTTTAAAATTTATATGTTGCTGGGGCTGGAGAAATAGCACAGCAGGCAGGGCATTTGCCTTGCACGCGGCCAACCCAGGTTCAATTGCCAGTATCCCATATGGTCCCCCGAGCACGGCCAGGAGTAATTCCTGAGTGCATGAGCCAGGAGTAACCCCTGTGCATTGCTGGGTGTCACCCAAAAAGCAAAAAAATAAATAAATAAATAAAAAATAATAAAATTTATATGTTGCTATAATTTATATAATATTAGTATCATATGGGAGCTAGGTTTAATTTATATTATTCATTATTATACCTAACTATGCAAGTTACTTGTATGCACAATTTTTCTTCTATTTTCTGCTAAGTATCTTTCTCATTGCCACTGTTTTCTGCTCTAGCAGCTTTATTTTTACCATTTTGTAAGTTTCTTGTTTCTCTTTTGGGTTTCCACTTAGCTTTGTTCTAAGTGTTTGTTTTCTAAGAGTACTGCCTCTTAATATCAGAATTAACTCATTCAAATATTCATAATTTTGTCTTGTCTGGGCAGAGTAAGGATTCTGACAACTAAGGGATCATTAATTGTGGCATTTTCTAAAGTTATGGAAATGTGTATTAATCATATTTCCCTCTACTGCAAATTATATCGCTTGGATTGTCTGGGGGCCACACTTGGTGGTTCTCAGGGGCTACTCCTCAGTTCAATGCGAGGGTCACTCCCACCAGTGCTCAGGACCCCTGTGGTGTGCTGGAGATGAAACCTGAAGCTCTCTCCTGACTCTCTCTGAGTCATTTCCTCACCCTGGAAACGCTAGTTTTTAAATCCTCTCCAGAGGTCTGGGAAGCCACAGAGGTTACCGGGAGGGTTGGAGCCAAAGAGAGCGGCTGGTGG